AAAAAAAAAAAAAAAAAAAAAAATGCACACAGACTTGCCTGAGTCACTTGCATTTGTGGACACTGAAATTTAAATTCATGTCATTTTCACCTTTCCTGAAATGCCATTTTTGTCCAATTATTTAACAATGCAAAAGCTATCCCTAGCTTGTATATTATACACAATCAGGCAGTGGGCTATAATACATGTGGTGCTGGATTAAAGCATTGAAATTCTCTCCTTACTCAGAGCTTTACAGCACTTCAGAGAGAAGGGTCTTAGAAGCCAGCAAGCACAGTCACCCCATGTGTCACAGAAGCATACAGTGCCCGGGCAGGAGAGGGGACAGAATCATCATCACAGGCTAGCAGGCCAGCAGGAGCTGCATGTGAGAGGAGGGCGTGACAATGATGTCCCTGTGTGACAGGGTGGAACCGGCACTGTGAAATGGGCTCCCTGATCAGCAGAATGAGGTAGCTTCAAAGGGTTGGGGGCTGGGAAGTGACTCTTTACTCCTGCCTGAAAATAGTATTTTGTAACTTTGTTTAAATAGAAATATGACCATGAGAACTTTGAGTAAACATAAAGGCTCACTTCTATAAAACATTAAATATGTGTTGTGTGTGCTTTCTTCTTGTTGTTATGAGTAAAGCCAAATTAGACAACAGCTTAAATCAGTGCAGTACAATGTCATAGATACCTAACATTTGTGCAATATTTAAAATAAAAAATAAAAGTAAGTAAATTTATCTTGAAAATTTTCTTGAAGCCAGGCATGATGGCACACACCTATAACCGCAGCACTCAGGAGGCAGAGGCAGCAGGATTACTGTGAATTTGAGACCAGCCTAGGGTAAATAGTGAGTTCAAGATCAGCTTGGGCTATGTAGTGAAACCCTGTCTCACAAAACCAAACAAAAGGAAAAAAAATTTTTTTTCTTGAATGAATTGGACTAAAGTATTAATCACTTGGACAGAAAAGCCAAGAACAAGTGCAGTCTCTTCAATTAATGGTGTTGGGGTAGCCATAGGCAGAAGACTGAAACTAGACCCCTACCTATCATAATACACAAAAATCAACTCAAAGTGAGTTAAAGCCTTACATATAAGATCCAAAACTATAGAACTACTAAAAGAAAAGGAGCAAGGATATTTTGGATAAGAACCCAAAAATATAGGTAACGAAAGCAAAATTAGACAAACAGCGTTGCATCAAACTGAAATCTTCTGCACAATACAGGAAATGATTTTGTATAAAAGTTCTATATAGAACATGGCAGAAAGTGTTTGTAAATTATGCATCTCCCAAGAGGCCAATATCCAAAATAAGGATCTCAATTCAATAGCAAAATAATAATGATATTAACTGTAATAATCCAATTTAAAAGTGAGAAAAAGACCTGAATAGACATTTCTCAAAGGAAGATGTACGACTGACCAACAGGCATAGGCAAAAAAATTCAGCATCACTAATTATCAGAAACGTACGAAATCAAACCACAGTGAGATAATACTTTACCTCAATTAGAATGACTATTCTCAAAAAGACAAAGAATAGTAAATGCTGGCCAAGATGTGGAGAAGGAGAAGTACTTATATACTGTCACTGAAGGTGCAACTTAGCAGCTCCATTATACAAATTACCATGAAAGTTCCTTAAAAATTGAAAACATTCCTGTCATCTCAGCTACTCCAGAGGCAGAGGCAAGAGGACTGCAAGTCTGAGGCCAGCCTGGACAACTAAGCAAGACCTAGTATCTAAATAAAAATCAAAAGAAAAAGGGAGTGGGGATGCATCTCAGTGGAGGCAATACTTAGCACTGGATTTAAAAAATAACCAATAAAAACCTAAAAGTAAAACTGCCATGGGATGCAGAAGTCCTACTAATGTGTGCGTAATGGAAGGAAAGAAAATAAACAAAGAGACATGTGCACTCGTGTTTACTGCAGCACTCTTCACAATAGCCAAAATGTGGAGGGAACTGAGGTGTCCGCTAATGGAAGAAAATGTGGTATAAATGCATGGTGGAATACTATTCAGCCACAAAAAAGAATCAAGTTCTGTTAGCTGTGGCAACAAGGATGATCCTGAGGACACTGTGTTAGTTCATCACAAAGGACAGGTACCCCATGTTCTTCCTCGTTCATGGACCCTAGAAAAACTGATCTGTGGAAGAAGAAAGAGCAGTGTTCCTGGAAGCTGAAGGAGGAAGTGAAGAGAGGGAGCCTGGAGAATACTTAAGGGATGTGAAGTTACAGAAAGAGGAGGAATGATTTCTGGTGTTCAGTGGGGTGCTTAGAGCTAACAACATCGTATTATGTATTTCAAAAGAACTAGAAAAGAGGCCTCTGAATGTTCTCACCACAAAGAAAGGACGAAAGTTAAAGGCGATGGCTGTAATGATTAATTTCCCAAGGTACGCGCATGTGGAAACATCACATAAATGAGTGCGGTGCTTAAGTGTCAATTAAAAACAACAAAAAACAAACAACAAAATAACCCCACACGGAAGGCAGAACTTTGACTTGTGTCCCCTGAAGACCGGTAGAATTAACACAGAGAAACTGAAAACTGTTCTCAGTGCGTTGCATGAGCACAATTCACACCACCACGGGAGCCCTGCAAGGTGCTGGTGTTTTGTTGGGTTTTTTTTTTTTTTAAGTAGCAAAACAAACTTCATTTTGCAAAGTATTAGACATCCCTAGAGCAGACAGTTTAAACCGTGAGGCTCTATTTTAAAACCTCTCAGTTGGTTTACCCATCCATATGGGTAAACCAGGCAATAAGAAAGATCACTGTATGCTAAAGACGGTGCGTGTTTACGTGCAGGTGCATGTGTGCGTGTGGGTGCGTGTGTGCATGCGTGTGCACGCGCGTGTGTTATAGCAGGCAGCTGTTTTTGAAGGCAGTGCTCCTGCTTCCATTTCTGGTGCCCGAAAGATGGGAAGGAGCAGAAGCAGCCTATCCCGGGGAGCCTCAGACCAGTGGTGGAAGGAGCCAAGCGGCCCTGGAGGAGGGCCCGTGCCAGGACTTCCCATCTGGAGCCTGCCTGGTGCTTCCTGAATCCTCACAGTCTCTGCAGTTTCTCAGATTCCCCGAGTCCCCGCTTTAGCATCCAACTCTGGCGAGTGCTTCCTGGAGACTGAGAAGGAGGGGGCAGGTGCGGAGAGAGACGGGACACCTTGCCAGCTGCTCCCACACCATCCGGCTGTGAGCTGCAGGCTCACCCACTCTCCGGGCCCCTCCCTAAGCCTTTCTGGGCTCACACCTGGGAAGAGGAGGAACCGGAAGGTCTAGCAGCAGCAGCCCCCTGCTGCAAGCTGAGGTCTCTACCTACATGGAGGTGACATCATACATAACCGGGAGGCGTCTGTGACTCAGGAGCCCGCCCAGAGGCTGGGTCCACACTTACATGTGGAAACCTGATCCTGCAGGTCTCCGAACCATTCCCCTTGCTTAGGCCTTTGCAGGAGGCTGAGGCTTCATTCCACAGAAGGGAAACATCCCAGCTTACAGACCACAGCCTGGGAAATGCACGGCCTGGGGTGAGGATACGGAAGCCCTTGAACTCGGTACGCGTCTCTCCCAGGTGGGCTCCCAGCTTTTCCTCTAGCTGCACACAACATGGCCAGAGGGGCTTCCATAGTGCGAAACCCTTGGACTCCACTACTTCCTGCTCCTCTGGCTCCATCCTGGACACACTCAACTCCTAACCCCTCAGCATCGTCTTCCTTTTCCCACACGTGCCTAAGTCTTTGGATCTGTACTCGGATTATTCACTTGTTATCACCCCTGCCACCAGGACCGGGTGCAGAGTGTGCCGGGAATATGAAGATGGAGGACAAGGAAAAGGACAGCCCTGTGCTCTTGGGACTGAGCACCAAGCCAGGAAGAAGGTGGTCCAGGACTAATTACCAAAGCACTTCCGTCCTTGTGGGGTGGGGAGTGCTATGCAGGGCCTTAGCTCGCTCAGGATTTATAGGAAGTCTACTAGTGCCCGGCTGAGGACACAATGAGGATGGAAGGAGGGTCCCTTCCCCCACCCTCACATTCACAGAAAGGGACTGCTGAGGCAAAGCCGAGGCTGAAGCTGGCACCGGAAGGGTGTGAGAGGTGATGAGAGCCGCTCCTGCCTCCTCCCAACTCCAGGGGCAGAACTGGGGCACGGCTCCAAAAATATGGGTTCAGCACCCACCTGTTGCCATTCCCCGGATTGGGACTACTCCACACCCCCCTGGGACTGTCCTAAGGTATCAGCCCACGTGGCCACCATCCCCGGTCCCTGACAATGGGTCCGACACTGAAACGCCACCCATCTGGCTCCGCTTTGGCCCAGCATAGCCACGTAGGGTCAGCACTCACCAATCAGCACTGGCCGGTGTACCCAAGCAGTTCTCTTTAGCTTTCTGACAGTTCTGGTCCTGAGTGGATGGGCTTCCTCTCCTACTGCCTTCTCCCCAGGGGAACGTACTGCTGACTCCCCTCTGCCTTGGCAAACTACCACAAACATGAGGCCAAGAGTTCATTCATATTTTGCCTCTCACGGCCTTGATGAACCCAAACCCCTTACGGGACATCCTGGTTTGGCCTCTTTATCAAGCTGGCAGATTAAACTGCTGGGCTGCATGAGCCTGGAGGCAATGTCTGTCTGCAATGCCAAGACACCAGAGAGGGGAGGCAGAGCTGGAGGACAGGTCCTGTCTGTCACTGTTTTCTCTTTCCAAATCTCACTGGCCAGGACTGGCTGGGCGCAGTGAGCTAGGAAGTGTTCTGAGCTGCAGGGCCATGTGGTTCCCCTTCCAGTTCCCCCGATGGTTTTCTGCAAAGCACCATGGCCTCTTGTGTCCCCCTGTGCAGGGAGCCACCCCCAGCCCTCTCCCTAGGGTCAGGGCAGAGTTCTCACTGCCATACTTTTGGAAGCCATTAGTGAAGTCCAGAGTTGGTGCTCAGGGAAGAGACCTGGGAGGGGCGGGGCAGCGTGGCCAGGAGCCGCTGTGATCACACAGGGGACACTCAGGCCAGCGCTAGCACCTGCCACTGCACCATGGCAGAATTGCTGCAGGGAAACGGGCTGCAGCTGGCAGTGAGCTCAAAGGCACCCAGGTCCATCTTAGGCTGGGCTGAGGGACCCTAATTCCCATTCCCAGGAGGTGGGTATCCCCCTGATTCCGATAACCACTTCTTCCTGTGGCTTTCTGTGGCCCCAATTCTGTTGGTTTTTGCAGTGCTGGGATGGAACCCAGGCCTCCCGCCTGCTAGGCCAATGCTCTGCACTGAGCTCCAGCCCCGATCCAGGGCCCCCAAGGCTTGGTAGCCTTTCCCATCCTGCTTCGTGACAACTGCAGGCTGTGTAGACAGTGAGAGGATTTGGGTCTGGTGTCAGGAAGAATTGCTTTTAGTTGTCTATGGAATATAGCCATAGTTTAGAAATAAAGTTGAAACAATTAGAGGAACCATGAGATGCCTTTAATTAATACACCCCTATGGTGGGCTGAGCACCCTTGTCCAAAATGCTTGGGACACGGGATTCCAGATTTCGGAACTTCTGCACTGACGTCACCAGTTGAGCATGGACAGTCTGCAAATCTGAAATACAAAGTGCGCCAGACTCCTAAGCTTTTCCAGCACTGGTTTGATGCTTCAAAATTTCGTGTTTGAAGTAATTTCCATGTCTCTTTCCCAAATGTAGCCTTTCACAATGCCTCCTCAAGGGCATCTAATAACAGTGGTGTTAATTTATGGTGGGTATTTTTTTTTTTTTTTTTTTTTTTTTTTTTTTCTCCAGTACCGGGAACCGAACTCACAACCTTGCACTTGCCAGGCAGGCGCTTTTGCCGCTGAACTAAATCCCCAGCCCCTGTGGTGGGTATGAATTCATGACCTGTTTTGCTTTGCTTCTATCTCGTCTTCGTCATGATTGTTTTGAATCCCAGGATACTGTTCAATGGAGAGATAGATCCTGTTTCTCTCGCTTGGTCCTTAGCTTTCACATTTCTTAGCAGCCAATCTTTGCCCTGGTGAGTAGCACTACAAGGGATGTCTTTGTTCAAGACCTGCGGCACAGCCCTGGGCAAAGGCCTGGGTCCACCAGCAGGTGGCTGGCCCTGCTGCAGCTGGCCGGCATCCTGGTGTCTTCCAGGCACTGAGTTGGGCTGACTGCACATCGGTCAGGCACTGTGTCATGTGGTACACAGGACTATTTGCAAAGGTCCACGTTTCCACAGAGCCAAGTTTAGCAGGAAAGGGACATTCATAGTAAAGACAATGAGACATTTGTGGGCATAGAAAAGGGTCTACAGCAGGCCTCAGGAAGGCCTACACTTTAGGTGCATTTAGCAAAGTCACCAGAACCCCATCCAATGCTCACCTCCACCCACATGTATTTCATCCTCTCTCCACATCCCTGAATACACTTGTTAGCCACCTTCCTGTCACGAGGGCAAAATACCCGACACCCACAACTTAAAGGAGGAGAGTTTTACCTTGGCTCACGCTTCAGAGCGTTCAGTCCCGGGTCACCTCACTCCAAGGCGGAGCAGTGTGGCAGAGGGGCTGGGCACAGCACAGGGTTCAATCCATTGCAGACCGGAAGCACAGAGGAGCAGGAGGATCCAGGGGCAAGAACCCACCCTTCCAGGTGACCCGCTAGTGACGTGCCTCTCCCGACCAATCCCGACCCCAAATTCACGCTCTTTTAGATCTAAGCCATAACAGTGTGGTGGGTAGAAGGTAGCCCTGCTCAGTGCAGGGGTTCAAGTCACCCTTCATGAGGCATTCCCCGACCTCTGCCTCTTGCCCTCTACTGAAAGTGCCAACACCTTTGGTTCCAACAGCCTTTCCGTCCAGCTTTAGTAGCCTGGCTCCACAACACACCCTAGAGCCAGCCTCCCTCCCTGCCTCCCTTCTTTCCTGTAAACATTTCTTGAAGTCATCTACCCAGCATCAGAGATTAGCGCCAACACTCCAGTAGTAGGACACAAAAATGTGCAAACTAACAGATGAGACTCATGTTCTAGCCCGTGATGGTTGTCCCCTTGATGGCTGGCTCTAGTCCCCTGGGTGGAGACACGGAGGGGCCCCATCCTCCTTTACACTGACTTCGTGGTGATCTCATCATCTTAAAGCTTTAAAAACCACCTTTGTGCTGATACCAGTCGCATCTCAGTCCTGTGCCTCTCCCAGAAATCCCAACTTTCCATGTCCAATGGGAGCTCTTCATTCCAAGCCCACCCTCTCCCTGCCCAAAACCCGCAACCTGTTCCTCCTTCAGCCTCTGTCTCAGGCACATGGCAGCTCGGTCCTCGTAGTTGCTCAAGAACAACTTTGAGGTCATCCTTGACCACTGTCCTTTTCACACAGCTACAGATTATTTTGTTCTACTCCAAAGCACATCCTGAGTTCAGCCACTTCTTTCCATGGACTTTCCACAGACTGGCTACTGCTGTGGCCTCCAAGCCGCCATCACCTCTTATTTGGATTCTTCCAGAAGCCTGGTTTTCTGGCTCCGACACTTGCTTCCCTGCAACCAATTCTGGACACAGCTGCCTGAGGGGTCTTGTTACCACTAGAGTCAGTTGCTGCCACTCCCTCGCTCCAAGGCCCTCCAGTCTCAGAGTCAAAGCTGAAGTGCACCAAGCCGACCCCGTGGCCCAACATGACTTGCTGCTTTACTTCCTATCCTCTAGCCTTACTGGCCTCCTGGCCATTTCTTAAAGTGTCAAGCACAGGCCCGCCCCAAATCCTCTGCCCTTGCTCCTCCCTCAAAGTAAAAATTCCCTCACCAGTGTGCCTGGTCTGCCTCACTTCCTGCACCACCTGCACTCTGGGATTGCCTCTTGGGTGGGGCCTCCTGCATCTCCCATTCCCCCACCCCCAACAGCAGAGTTGTTTTCCTGGTCACTGGCCACAGTCCACCATATACAAGTATTGGTTTGCTTTCCATGCTCTCCCCAGTGGAAGGCAAATTTCATATAGCCAGAGGTGTTGTCTACCTTTGACCAGAGATGTCACTGCTTTACCTGCAGGGTCAAGAACCCCAAAGGTACAACAGAGTAAGGCGGTGACAGAGATTCAGAATTCTGGTTCTCAGGCCTTACTCATCCATGAAATCCTTTATTTAAGTGAGACAGGCGTGTTGGAGGAGCAGGGGAGAGGTAGGGATCTGGAGGCCCATTCAATGTCTCCCCTCCCTGAGGATGTCCTCAGCATACTTGAGCCAGCCCCACAGATGTCTGCAGAGCACAACTCCAAGACCAGTGATGGGGAGCCGAATTTCAGCTCGTTAGTGCGCTTGATGGCTGGAGGTTGTTTCCCCCTGCAGTCATCATTTTGGACACATGCATGGCTTCTTTTAACGTGTTCTCTAATTAAATATCTTTCCTGAGAAACAGCTGACTACTCTGAGAAAACAGGGTTTGCCTGTGATCCACTTCACCATGCTGATTCTGAAACACCATGTAGGCATCGCTAAACCAGAACTGAGGAGAAGCTTTCGTATTCCGCAAATTGGTGACAGGTGAAGAAAAGGAAACCAAGGCACTCGTTTCCCAACAAGCACTCCTGAAGCAGCTGTCTTGTGCCTGGCTCTTGCAGGCACTGAGAGCCCCTTGAGAGCCAGACGGAGAGAGCCCAGAGAACCCAAGAGAGCCCGTCCCATGCAGCTCACATTTCAGAGGCCTAGAGGGGAAAACACAACAGGAGTAAAGCAGGTGTTTATTTTCTGGTGGTGTTCAATACTTCAAAGAAAATACATGCAGACTCTTTCTTAGCAAATGACTAGAAGTTTTTCATGTAACCATAGACCTATCCACCAATCAGTTGTCTGAAGAATCAATCCAGCTGGTTTTCGTATCTCAAGTTTAAACTATGCAATTTAGTGTTCAGAATGATTTCCAGAGGAGATGAAATATTAAATTATATCTCTAGTACTCATTTTTAAGAAGGTGAGAAAATAATAAGGAAAAGGGCAAGAGGAAAGAAGGAAAGAAAACTGTGTTCTAGGAAATTTCTTACAAGGTGGACAAAATCCAAGTAACCAAAGCATGGTACTGCCAAAGAAATTTTAGCCAGTCAAGGATTCCTGGTACTAATTAAAGCTGTGTCTTATTGTTTTGATTATTTAGATAGAAAATTTAGGAAATAGTGCTTACATTTACTTTCCTTCATATAAAAAATATCTTCTTTCTTCGAGAAAATTCTGGAGTGGTTTTGTAAGTAATGTCTTGATTTGCAGAATATTTCATTCCGTGATCTACTTCCTTTTGGGTTTAGAGATGACATCCTCATCATCTGTGGTCTTTATATAATGCAGAAGGAAGGTGTCTTCCAAACTTGCACATTTTGGGAGCTGGGGGAGTAGCTCAGCTGTACAGCGCATGCTCGGCATTTGTAAGGCGCTGCATTCCATTCCTCGCATCAAGAAAGAAAAAATTGCACATTTGCAAAAATTACGATACGTGGTAGATTAGAGAGCATTTCAGTTTAATTCAAATTGATTCGCATTATCACAACTGACTTCCACCCTGGCCTAATCCAACTGCTCTGGTTTTCTTGGACTGGCGCATAAGAGGCAGGTGCGTCTCAGAGCAAATCCCATTGCACTGGTGGTGGCACCAGCTGGCAGGTTCACAGGGCTTGGCCAGAGCAGAGGAGCTCTGGAATGTTCCTGGGTGTGGTGCACGGGTCTAGGCAGGTGTCAGGTCAGAACGGTGTGATCCGTAGGGTCTGGAATTTTACAGTGCAGTGCGAGCAGCGCTGGCACCTTCTGTCCTCCAGCACCACTCTCACATGGTGATTGTTAACTTCTGAATGTTCATTAGGTGCTGCTTGTCCCACTTATTAGTTCATGTGATGGCCTTGTTGCATGTGTGCCTATGTTGTCCCCATTCCCACTGGCGGAAGCTGAGGCTTGGTGGTTGATTGTGAGGAACTGCACACACATCGGTGGGAGTTAGGACTGCGACAGAGGGGTCAGCTCCACGTCCATCTCAGGGTATGTCGGCGTGGCTCATGATTTTGTTAAAAAATGAAAAAACAATGCATTGTTAAAACCCATAGGCACTTCCCAAACCAGGAGTGGTCTTCAAAAGAAGACCACCCACTTGCAGCAATCAGAACATTTCTTTTTTTTGGTCTTGTTTTTGCATGGTTTCTCTTGTATGAGAGACACAAAATATAAAGAGGAAAATAAAAGATAGATAATAGGAAACAGGGAGCTGGATCTTTTGCCAAAGGGAAGAGGCCAAAGGATGGAGGGAGGAGGAGAAATGGAGAGGGAAGGGGATGGAAAAAGAATGAAGATGTTATGTGCACATGCCAGCTCCCCAAGAGGAATGTAATCATTATGTCCTGCAAAAACGTACTTAAACATAAAAACTGGGGGGACGCAATCGGAACATTTCTATCCAGTGCAGCTTAATGCAAATGAGCACCTCAGCAGAGCACGATGGCACCCATCTGTGATCCCAGCCACTTGGGAGGATGAGGCAGGAAGATCACAAGCTCAAGCCCAGTCAGGGCAACATAGTGAAATCCTGTTTTAAAAAACAAAAGGGGTGTAGTTAGTTCAATGGTAGAGTGCTTGCTTACCATGTGTGAGGGCCAGGGTTCTTATCCTCAGTACCTCAAAAAAAAAAAAAAAAATAGAAGGGAGAGTAAGGTAAACTATAACAGAGATTCAACATAGCTGAACAGAGGAGGAGACATGTTGGAGTTACTCAGAGAAAATCCACTAAAAACACAGGTAACTGGAAGAAAGAGAGGGATATACAACCTGATGCCAAAATCAATCTGAAATAAGAGACTTGTAGGTCAAACAAAACATAGGCTAGGACTTTATAAAACACTGAAGCAGCCCACAGGGACCTTCACCTGAGTGCAGAGCTGGAACACTGATGGACTTAAACAGTGAATCAAAATGCAACCTCAGACCTCCATCCCACCCAGGAGAAGTCAGGGGACAATGAGACAGAACTCAGAAGCCTCCCACCTGAATTTTCTAAAATGGGAGCAGCAGAAGGAAAACAACCCAGATGAATGAGGTTATAGAGAAAATCAGATCAGAAATAATCTATCAGGTAAAAAAGAGAGGAAAATCAAAATGAAGAACTTTCTCAGTGAATCTAGAGTAGACAAAGATGTTTTTAAAAAATAGAAGAGCTTAGGTAAATGACAGAAATTCTGAATGCCCGACATAGGAAAGAAATGGAATCCATGAAACAGGCTAAAACAGATATCCAGGAGATTAAAACTTCCACTGAAAGTACAAGCAGCTGAATGAATGAAGATGAGGTCACAAAATCAGATCTAGAGGACAGGATTACAGTTAGTGATCACAAAAATGCACATAAGAAAGATTTCTTAAACATAGCAAAGGACTATGAAAAATCAACCCAACAGCTGCAACAAAATAAGGTTGATCAGAGTGGATAAAAGAGCAGGAGACATCACAAATGACATAAGAAAAACCTGTACACAGAAGTAATGGCAGAAAACTTCCCAAGCATGGAAAAACAAATTGACATACAGGTAAGTGAGACATGTAGAACTTCAATTAACCATGCACAAAATAAATCTACAACGAGGCATATAATAATCAAGATTCCAGAAATTCAGCACAAGAGTAGAATGTTAAGAGCTGTTAGAGGAAGAAATAAATCACCTATAAAGGAAAACTCATAAGAATCACAGAGGATTTCTCAACACAAATCTTTAAGACAAGGAGAGCATTGACTGAAGTTTTTTAAGTACTGAAAAAAAAATCAAACTCCAACCCAGATTGATGTACTCTACAAAACAATCTTGCAAAATCAGTGGAGAAATGAGATACTTCTATGACAAAGAAGAGCTGAAGAAATTCATGACCACAAAACCAGCTCTCCAAAATGTTCTGAAGGATATTTTAGAAAGAGACAAAAATACTACACTCCTAAGAACACCAGTACAAGAAATCTACCAGGCCAGACAAGCAATTAAACAGAGGGGAAAGATAGGAAACCAAAAACAGGAAAATAATATGACAAGGATAAGCCAATACATATCAGTTATAACTATCAATGTTAATAGTCTCAATTTACCAATCAAAAGAAACAGACTGGCAGAAAGGATCAAGAAACAAAACAAATACATATAAGAAATAAATACATATGTATAAATACATATAAGAAATACACTAAACTCAAAAAGAAATTCATAAAAAGTCAAAGGATGGAAATAATATTCCATGTGGCAGGAAAACACTAGAAATCTGGGGTAGCTATTCTATTTGTAGAGAAAGTCAATTTCAAGCCAAGAGAGATACAGAAGGTCATACGTACTAGTAAAGGGAGCAATGAGGAAGAGATAACAATTATAAATATATATGCACCAAATACTAGCATGCCCACTATCACCACTCTTATTCAGTATAGTTCTGGAAACTTTGGCTAAAGCAATTAGACAAGAGAAAGAAGTAAAAGGAATAAAGATAGGAAAAGAAGAAATTAAATTATCATTATTGATAGATGACATGATACTCTACATAGAAGAAAACAAAACTCCACCAAAAGACTTCTAGGTTTAATAACCATATTCAGTACCATAGCTGGATACAAAGGCAACACTCAAATATCAATAGCATTCCTGTATACAAGCAACAAATTCACTGGGAGAAAAATTAGGGAAACCACACCCTTCACAATAGCATCCAAAAAAATGAAATACTTAGGAATCAATCTAACAAAGGAGGTAAAAGATCTTTATATTGAAACCTACAGTACTCTGAAAAAGGAGACTGAAGAAAATATCAGAAAATGGGCTAAACTTTAAAATAGTAGTAACAGAGCAACAGTGAGTAGACAGTGCTGGTAAAACCAGTACCACTCACCTAGTGATCACTTGTGGTGGGCTGGCTGTGTGCTAGGCATGAAGGCCTCGTGCTAAGTGGGGTACATGGATTATCCTTTTCTAACCTTGTGGCACCCTTGCTGCTGTATTACAGATGTTAAGATTAGGGAGCCCAGATTTAAGCCCTACAAGACAGACATTTGACCTTCACACATCCGACCTCAGAGTTCGGTCCTTAACCATTAAACTCCAAGGGCAATGCCAGCTAAGCGTCATGGGCAGGTGAGATTCACTGAACCTGCTGAGTCAGAAACAGAAGGATCAGGGTCTGCTAAGAGCAAGGTCGGGGAAGGCCCAGCAGTGTAGGGGGTTTCATGCACCATGGTTTCACTCTGTCCCTCCACAAGTACCTCTTGCACTCTCCGTATTTATTCAGCTAAGCCAGTTCCATGCAGGAATTCTTTAATTCATTCAGCAAACATTTACTGAGCTCTGCATCCCAAGGACAGATAGGTAAGTCTCTGTCCCCAAAGCTCCAGCCAGGCAGGAAGTTTTGTTGACAAATCTGGAAGAAATAATAACCTCAACAAGTGCACCAAAGCCCACATGCCTGGGGCTCGGTTTGAGACTTCCTTCTTCCAGTGCCAGTGGTGGGCGAGGGCACTGCCCATGCCCCAGTGGGAGGAGACTGGCTCCAGACCACTGTGATGTGCGTTGCCAAGCCATGCCAGGCCATGGGGGATGCCCTCTGCCACCTCCTGTGAGGGGGGGTATGCAAAGGTAGACCAGGTGTTAGGAGAGGAAGTAGAGACCAAGACTCTTGCAGACAAGGACTTGGGGGCTTAGGGCCAGCTGGCAGGGACAGCACCCACAGTACTGATGGACTTCAGGGAGACACGCCTGGTACAGTGTGTTGGTCCAGGAGGGCTCCCTGGAGGAGGTAGCTGAAGGCTGGGAAAGGGTAGAGTCCCAGGACCCTGCTGCATAACACGGGGCTGTCAGTTGTTGTCAGTGCAATGCCTGGCCACATGCTAATCCTTTTCCCCAAAAATCTTCAGCAAAGTCTGATACGCTGGTGTCACCTGGGGAAGGAGAAAGAGCAGCTCTGAGGACCCAGGGGTCAACAGCAGAGCTGGGTGCAGAGCGACCATGGGACCTGCAGCCCTACAGGGTCTCAGGAGCCTTCCAGAGGATAGTGCCCCAGGCTGCTTCTGACAGACGCAGCGGTGTGGTGAGGGTCGGAGCCTGGGCTGCCTGGCGTGGCATTACCCAGTGTCCCCGAAGGAGCCAGAGCGGAGCGTGGGGAATTTGGTTCAGTAAATACTCATGAGGTCTCAAGTCCATGTGCAGCACCCTCAGTCACAGCTAAGGAGCAGAGAGAAATACAGACCCAGAGGGATGAGTGACACAGGAAGTGGGTGGGGCCCCCAACTCCAGGGCCCACCTGTGGGGGGCAGTGCAGCAGAGAGAGGCTGCAGGAGCCTAGCCCCAGGGACACAGGTCAGGAAGCTAAGGCGCAGGAAGTGGACAGCTAGAGAAGGCTGTGAGGGGAGCCCACGGAACCCTGCAGCCACCGTAGGCTCAGGGAGCGCAGCAGTGGGAAAAGACCAGGTGGAGGGGTGCGTGGCCCTGGAGCTGGCTTATCCCTCCCGAGCCCCGGCTTCCCAG